CCGCCACGTCTGCTTTCAGTGCCTCTGCTGAAATGTTGTCTGGTCCTGCTGCTTTGCCACTCTTGATTTGTCTGATTGCCATGCTGATTTCTCTAATTGTTGGTGGGCCAACATTGATTGGGAGTTCCGTGGGTTCTGCTTCGATATTAAGTGGGTTCAGTGTGGCTAGTCGTTTCAAGAGTTCTTTGAAGTGCTGTACCCACCTGTTTCATTGTTCTTCAATTTTTGTGATTACCTTGCCTTCCTTACTTTTGACTGGTCGTTCTGGTTTATGGTGATTTCCAGAGAGTTTCTTCGTTATGTCACGGCACGGCATGTAAGTGCTTCGCCAATAATTTATTGTTATTGTAAGAATATGTATTGAGCATATCACTTTGGAACTCCGCTGCACTTGAAAATACACCAATAGTCATTTTTAGTTTATTGATCTTCAGAAAAAGTATCAGTTGATGGGTCATGGTGCTTTGCAGATGTCAAAAATGAAGGTATTCACATGTGACACCAGGATAAACAGAAGAAAAAACAAAAAAAGCAGTTAAACGATTCGAAGACTATCTATAGGAAGTTCCACCTAATAATCTTAGTTCATTCAGTTTCAAAGAAGCGATACAAAACTAGAGGTGACAGGTGTTTTTTAGGATAGGAAAGCACTACTAGGGGAAGTTTATTGTTCATTTTCCTGGACAGTAGCTGCAGTTTCTTTTCAATGTCTAATGTATTCGATTAACTAACGACAGAACATTTTCATGGTGTTTGTATGAACTAACGATTTCGTTTTACTTGCTGAATGCTTGATTTTGAATTCCAAATACAGTACATTCCTTCGTGCTTACTTAGTACTTATCGATCCAATTGAGTTATTTCTGGGATTCCTAGTTTGTACTATAATTCAAATATTTTTAATCATCATAGCTCCATACGCTTTCGAATCGATATTCCACCGAAGTCCTTGATAAAATTAATATCTATAAGGCTAGAATCCTGAATAAATAGAAAAGATTATCTTGCGTGACATTACGTGTAAGGTTATCAATATATCATTTTTTCGGCTATAAAAGTGATTAGTTTAGCACGTAATTTCACGTAATCTCTTGATCTGACATATGTATTACTCTACATTAGAGCAGCTGAGCTAGATGTTTAGATTTCAAGGTTACGAAGCTAACACTGTTTAATCTAGTCACGGAAATAGCTTGTCCTGATTTCAGATGACAATGATTAGTTTATGACCAGTATTGATTATTCGCATCTCGGAGTTCATCAACGATGACTGAACTATTGTTTCCTGCCATAATATTTAGAAATAGAACACCAGTCATATAGTTTGCGTTTTACTAGATTTATCTCCAGTTATACTGATGAAAAGTATATAACGTTGAATAAGTTTAAAAAAACCGTTCTGTAGACCTTCGACATTTTACTGGACTCACCTAGGTTAAAGTGCCCGGTCACTCATCTGCACCAGATTATAAATGGGTATGTAGTGGCACTAAACTCTAACCACACGAAATTTGAAGCCATGTACATAATTAGTGCAAATATTTAAATTCAACAATCGACACGAAGAGGTCAGCATCGAAGGTGTGAAGAGTTGGTTGAATTTAATGAGATGGCGTGGCCCGGCCTTGCAGGCGTGGTTATTCTGTATAACTTGTCTTCACTAACATTATATATATTATTCAATCTTTAGCCTAAATGTATCCTTTAGGAACTCAATACGTCATATTGTAAATCGTTACGGTACGATGAATCAGTGCAGACAGTGGTGTGCCTTCTACATAAGATCTTATAGATTAGATAGTCACATAATGACAAATCTATACTTTTAGAATTAAGTCTATAATAATAATAATAACAAAGAAGACCATATTTCTACAGGTACGCCATGCTATGCATTTCCAACAACGTTAGTCAGCTTGGACTCGATAACCCCCGACATATATCTTCGAACGTCTTCACTTATGACTTTTGATCTGACTGGGTTAGCACACTTTGATCGTAAAGATGCCATGAATAAGGGCGATTTAAAGCGCAGAATACCTATGGCATTTTTAGTGGTGAGCACGACGTTATCTGGTAGACCAATTCATACACTATATAAGCTGCATAAACGTGCACAATTCCTCGTATTGGTGAAGGCATCACTGCTCGATTTCAACAGGTACGTCACACCTAGTACTTCTACTAATGGTGTTTCGGAAACTCACAAGACTCTAAAAATGGATATTCTTGAGCGTGTGGTTCTAACCGATCGACAAATGTCAAGCCAATTCCTCGATATCATCGATCCACAACATGGCTCAGCTAACGAAATGTTGCAACGAATGCGAAGGGTCATTGATAAATGGACTTTTGACGATCGCCTGTTTAGACAGCACTCCATATTAAAGCTTCCTTCACTCGTTTCGAAATAACGCTGTAGATGAGACGAATGCATCTGCTGACCAGACTCTGAAGACCACCATAACCCCTGACGTCAAGGTTTGTTCTGTCAATGAAAAGTCACAAGCAACGCAAAATGATGTAGTGTACTTCTTAAACGTCATCTTAATATCCAGCATATTTACAGACGCTGTCTGACTCCCTGAAGAAGTCCATCACGACAAAGATTTCTCTCTATGCCACGAGTGGCAGGATAACCTCATTGCTTCTGGTATCAAAATAAATATATAAAATCTCGTCAAAATTGCAGAAAACCATTCAGTTATTCAATCTGCGAACTGTCTGAAACGAAACCTTTTGGGAAACTTACTTGACAGCACGCGTAAAAGGAAACCGGATCCGACGAAGTCAGACATCTGGTATACATCACTGATGTGTTGACGAATGTTCGCTATCTCATGGAAACTGTAGCAGAAGTCAGTGTTCTTCATACAGTCACATTAAAGCACATGATTCATCTATGTGTAACCCGCCATGTTACACATCACATCACGACGACAGGACCACCACTAGCTCCCAAAACGTTGAGGTTGGGCAGAAACAAATTCGATCACATCATTCGACCGTCAGACAGCCCATGGGCATCTCCGTTGCACATGATCTCCAAAAAGGACAGCAGCGACTGGCGTCCAACTGGTGATGATTCCCGATCGTCCCCCGTTGCCATACGTTCACGATTTGACAGCTACCTTGAAGGGAAAACTGTCTTTTCAAAGATAGACTTGATTGAAGACTATAACCAAATCCCTATGGCCACTGACGACATTCCGAAAAACACAATCATAACTCTTTTCGGTCTGTACAAATTTTTGCGAATGCCTTTCGGCTTAAGAAATGCTGGTCAGACAATTCAAAGGTTCACAGATGACGTTTTTTGGGGTCTCAATTTCGTACATGCGTATCTTGATGACTGCTTGATTGCGTGTTTGGACAGAGAATCTCATCTCCAACACCTGAACCTTGTCGTCAGACAAATACAAAGTCACGGCAATAGTGTAAACATTCAGAAATGTCTAATCCACACTGACTCCCTATATTTCCTCGGACACACTATTGATGCTCAAGTCATCCAACTTCTAAAAAGCGAAGTTGCAGCCATTCCGGATTACCCAGAACCGATCACAAACAGCAACTAAGTCCATTCAACGGCCTGGTAGTTTCCTATAGATGGTTCTTATCAAACTGCGCGTCCCATATCAGAACTTTAGCGGCTCAACTTCGTGGAAATAAGAAAATCATCAATTCGGACGACATCAGGAAAAAAGCATTCCCCACAATTACGGAAATTGTCTCCAAAGCAACCTCACTTGCACACTAGGAAACCCAAGCACCCGTAAGTATCGCAGTGGACGCATCTGACTCGGCAATCCGGGGAGTCGCACAACAATGGCTAAACAACACCTAACAGCATTAAGACTTTTGGTTGCTGGTCTCCGAATAGAGGTATAGCACTTTCGTTAGAGATCTCCTAACCATGTGTTGTATTGCATGACACCTTCGACACTCTGTGGAGGGTCGAAAATTCACTCATTTCACTGATCACGAACCTCTTGCCTTCTGTTTAAGCTCATTTACGGACAAGTATTCCCCTCGACAGTCCCAACAACTGGACTGTATTTCGCAGTTAACTTTAGATGTACAAAACATTTTTAAGGCAAAAAATGTAGTTGCAGACGGTTTGTCTCGTTAAACGTCTTTGAACTTTCCAAAAAATCGTGAAGCGGTGAGCACATTTCCTGTGTAAGCTGCCAGAAACCCAAGGTAGTTAGACTCAACAACTGTCCCTCAGGTTCTTTCGAAACTTTAAGAAATATGTTTAGAAGTCAGTTGGGACCCTGAAAACCGTTTGATTTAGGCTGCTTCACAGTTGTGAGAGACGCGTACCACGACGTACTAACACATTGAAGATGTCACAAGTACTCGGAGTTTGACAACACCTTAACCAGCAACACCTTATATAGTCGAAACGTGCCAGCCCAGTTGGTCTTAACGTCAGAAGCCAAGAGTTTCGAATATATATTTGATGGAAGATCGATATATCGAGGAATGACTAAATTAGGCTGGCTAGCGGTTGTGGGAGAGGTGAAGCATGGCATACTCACTTGTGATCTGATGTTGACGCATGACCAAGCACCTACAGCAAGGTGAGCCCATTAAAACTAATGAGGTAAGCATCGAATGTCGAAGAAATTTATTTATAGCTACAGAATGGTCTTGTGTGGTTACATGACCGAGTGACAAGAGCAAGGGTATGTCAAGGCAAGTAAATTAAGATTAGAATCAATGTTTAAGATTCATGGGCCTATTTTTTCCAAGGAATCATTCATCACAACAAGCCATAGCCTCTACTATCCCGTCCACGGCCATTTGAAAAATGAAACTAATATTGCCTCATTACAACCCAAGAATAAGTCACTTTGATAAAACAAATGCAAGTTAAACAAAAGCCGTCATTCGTAGTAAAAATTAGAAGTCTCTGAGATAAATTATTATTCTTACTTTATTTTCCTATTTCTTCTGTTATTCGTTTTATCGCACCAAATGCAAAACAAAGTCAAGTCGATAGCTTTTCAAATAGTTTTTGCATTATCGTTATGATTAGGAAAGGGTACTATAACCGTACGTTCATTTGTTCAACCTGAAAAAAATCCGTAACAGCAGTTTTTTATGCTAGTGAAAACATTTTATAATTAAAGTCTTCGCAAAGCACGGCATAATAGTTCTTCAGATTGTCATAAATGTAAATTTCCAAATATTTGGCATGGTAAGTTTGAATTTCACAGAAAAACATTCTCGTTCGACCACCACTTCAACGTGTTTCATAACATTCTTGTCGTTGAAGTAAAAATAACAGGAATACAACGGAGTATACTTTCGTATCTCTTCATAATTTTTGTAGTTTGTAAATTGGTAATTGCCGTCTATGTTTTGTAAAAATTTTGTTTTGAGCGATTATTATATTCTTTCAAGTCACTCGCTAGCATATCATGAGTTATTTTTATCTGTATCGACGTTTTATTGCAATAGATCATGTCTGATTCTTCTAAAGATAAATTTCTATAATGTGAAATATTGCTTATCCGATAATAACGTGATGCTTATATGTAGTCATCAAAAGAAAAGTAAGTGTAACTGAATTAAGTGTGGTTTATTTCCCCCTTCTTTCATTTGAGATTGTTGATTAGGAAGTTGTCCATCATGGTTCAGCATAACCCCAAGTACATCTCCAGTAACTTGGTGATCCGAGTATATCTTCTCATTTATTTACTTTCGACTTTTCCTCTAACTGCTCTAAAAATAGTACGGTAGAAGAGATTCAACATATATATATATTATATATCACTATGAAGAACTGCAAGTAACTATTCTGGTAAAATAACCAGCCAAAATATTGGCTTATTATGGTCACTCCATATCATCTTACTATAAATTGACTGTATTTATATTTCTGACTCAATCTGAATAAAATACATAGAATCTAGTCTTTCAGGTTAATTCTGGATGAGATTTATACTCTGCAAATGAATCACGGATACTGAATTGGCAAATGAAATTTTTGTCGTGTATTTGCATCCCTTCACCTAATAAGTGTTCACAATTAATTTTACATATTTGATCCACCTATTCAGTTGTTTTAAAAAATCCACGTAGTTTATTTTGTTTCCTCTGTATTGTGGTAACTCAGCTCATCAAAAATAGGTAGTAAAATAAAAGATATGTTTCTGAAAAACTAATTGGAGAGCCAGAAAGTTTGAATAAATATTCTATTCAACGTTACATTTCGAGTCATTTTAAAGAGAAACAAAAATGTATAGCACAGATTTTCTAATTCTTTTACTTTTTGAGTATTATTATCCGTTCGACACAACAGTTTTTATAGCGGACGACCAGCACTCACTGGATTATGGTTTGAATCCTCCATCAGACAACGCAAGACTCTGCGTCTCAATGTAAGAAGGACAGTGTTGGTCTTGTTGTATTCACTTATGTAAACCTCACTCAGTATCCAGTCATTGAAGATTATGTCACTTGATAAAATTAAGGCATACAGTGATGTTTAGTTGTTCTTGTAAATTAATACAGTATATGCTACTCGTATATGAAAGCCCATAGTTTCTGCCATCGATTTCATGCATATTTTAGCCTAAAGTATATAAGGGTGAATTTTAATTTATGCATATTATTTGTCTGGATCTTCCCATCGATTGACTGCACCACTGGGCAAGACAGTTATTATATAAACTCAGACACTTGGTGAACAATGCGGAATTTGAAGCCAACGGTACTGCGTTCGCGTTTCGGAGTGAACATCAACGCTGGGGTATAGGTTCACCCATCTGATGAACATGGTAGATTTTAATGCTGGCCATCATTCATCTCTGTTTAAGACGTGCGTCACTTAAGAGAAATATCGAGGTAACACGAACATTATGCACAAACGCTTAAAAAGACTGATCAATTCAAGTCCTAAACATCAGTGTGACGATCCAAACAACCAATATATATGAATGTTATGTGTAATCATATTATTTGTCCTAGTTACTGAATACTGTACAAAGTCCACGTATTCACTATCAGTAAAGTATACAATTCCTGACTGCAGCAAGACAATGACATGACGCCAAATGTTCTTTGGTTCAGATTATGGATAATTTTATTGTATCATTACTCTTTGACTTATAATCTTCCTACTAATATCTTTGAAATGAGTCAGGATATTTTTTGGTACGGCATCATAAATATTACATATCATATAAGCCACACCGCATAAATCCCGGTTAATATTTTTTAAAAATCATTTTACGATTTGTATTATTTCACATAACATAAATAAACTTTGTGTTCCTATGAATACAGGTTCCAAATCTGTTTGTTCCGCTCCTGTAGAGGAACAGGGTGGTAATAACGAAAGAACGAATTCCATGATACCAAAATGTGTCAGTAAAAAGTCTGTAAAATTTCCTGGGGAATGTAATCTTGTTACGTGTGTGATAGATCCAGTTGATCCGTGGTTAAACAGTAAGTCAGTTAGCTTTATAAATTTTGGCTGAAGGACAGTGCTTATCACCTGCTGAGTTAATCAGTGTTTATAAATTTCAATGTAATCTCTCTTCGATCCAACCTTTGTATAGTGTCATTTCGCAGTTACAAGTAAGCGGTTGAAGAAAATCACTTGTTTGTAGTCTATAGATTTGAGGCAGTCTCTAGAACGGAAACACGTTTTTAATCTTAAGGGTAAGAGATTATTCTACTGATTATCATTTTAGGTTGTCAACTTAATGGTGGGCATATTGATATGCTGGAATATGTTTTCAAATACGTCCAATTCCAATACGTAAATTTGGAAAACACCAATCTTGATGATGAGGTAAGGATTCTACTGGTGTTTTGATATAACTATATTTCATCACTCAAATATACCACCTGAAATTTGATTGCAAAAAGATGGTATAGAAAGCATGTATATGTAAATAATATAATCCAAGAAAATAGAATACAAGGCAAACATTTATTTAAGATGAAATCGGACCATTTTTAAGTGACATCAGGACTATTACTCTTGTGGGCTATTTTTATTTTGGTTAAGACAGCATGAGTAATGTTGTAAGTGATCCCATTTTATAAACTCTGATATACTTTGAGTTTTTTATGGTTAGGAAAGAGGAAGTGGACTACAGGGTAATAGCTACAAGATTTAAAAGTCAGCTTTTATTTCACTCTATCAGTTTTTGAATTGTAAATGCTGGTTTAAGTAATATTCTGCTGGTTCGCGAGCTCATATACCATATTAAGCAACATTTTGTGAAATGGAAATAAATGAAGGACCTGACGAAATAAACAATATTTTCTAAAATAAAGGATAAACAAAAGAAACAACTAAGATAAAATTAGAATGAATTCTTTTTTAGCGTAATGCCTTTAGATATTGATTAAGGAGTCGCTTTTTCTCGAAACAAAAAGACTGAGTAAATTGAAATCAAAGGTAGTAAAACAATGATAGATTTTTGATATCCCAATGATCATATATTCAGAGTAAATAAATCAATCACTGAAGTAAACTAACAAACGTCTAAGTAGCATGAATGAAAAAGAAAAGATATTTAGTTCAATCAAAATCAAAGTAAAAATAGGTCTAATCATGTCACCGTCATGTAAATTTTCGGTCGAACGGTTTCTGTATGATACACCATTATTTGTGTGGCTGTGAAAAACGTGAAGCTTGAATTATGAAATGGTCCGAAACATCAGTGGGAAGATTCAACTAATCAATACATACAAATGAGTCGGAATCTGAATGTGTATGTGTGTGTGAATTGTCCAAAAAACGAACATAGTTACGTGTGGTTGTTTTGATAGACAGGTCAAGCTTGATAAATAGTCAGGACTTCTTTTCTGTTGAGGAAATTGGCATTATGTGAAACGCTTCAGCCACTCTCCTTTCTTTGTTATTGGAAAAACCTTTCTGAATTATTTTGATATTATTGATATCGGTTTGGTGGTAACTAAGTATAACAAGTACTGCTAATGAGAATTTGATTTGTAGATTTTTCAGTTCTACAAAAGTAATAGGTCTTTTTGTATAGCTTAAGCGTTCTTTGGCCCGAGTCAAGATTTTATAAGAAGGCCTTCTAACATGGAATGCAAGGCAATCGACACAATCTGTAGACACAGTCCTGTGTAGATGTGAACAAGATCTTTTCTTGAGTCTGAACTAAAGTATTTCGAAGAGTGTCGATTGTTTTATAGAAAGCCTTGATTTTGTATATCGTGGTGGTTAGGAAAAACTAGGGTACCAATACAGTATATTTCATTAGAACTGGTACTTCTAGATGAACCGTTATATTCTAGAATATTCATAATAATATTCACGGTAAAATTAGTAAGTTGCAAAAAGTTTATTATGTTATCACTTCTGGGGCAATGATCTTGAAAGTTCATCTAAATAAACTCAGGGTCGAGGATAGTTTTGCGCTGGGCAAGTGTGGAGAACTGAAATCGATATACCGATTTGAATGGATCAGTTCTCGGTATATGGTTGAATTAAGATTTCAATTATGGTTCCTCTTAACTAGACGGTTCAAGAATGGTAGTTCACTGGATTCATCTTCCTTTTTGAAAGTAAATTTGCTGTGATTTGAAAAAGTGTTTTTTAAGGAAAGTCTTTTTATCGATGAAAAATGGGGTATCTGCATAGTTGCCCAAGATACATAGCCTGATGGTACAGGAAAAATCAAGCAACCTAATATGAGATATGAGTAAATCGACAACAATGGACGTTACATGAGATCTCACGGTCACTCTATTTGTTTGTTTAAAGTTCCTTTGGATAAGAAATCGTTAAATCCAAGCATAGTTTTAGAAATTTCATGATTAGATTAATGCTGAAAGAAAATCTACTAGGTAGAGTATTATTATTCATTGATAAGTCAACCAATAAAATCTAAATATCTATCAACTGGAATACTAAAATATAAAGACACAACATAATAGCTTACTATTGTCTATTTCTGTTCCATAGATAATTCCAAAATTTTTAACTTGAAGACATATGAGTCTTAATAAATATTATGTTGGTTCTGCTAAAAGATCTCCATAAGTAACAACGGATTTATGTTTATTTTATTTATTGGACTCATTTTTAGTCTGTTGAATCATTATATGAAATTTTGAGTTATTATGAAACATGTACAGGATTGTGTTTGGCTCGAAACCCTAATGTTACGTCTACCGGCTGGATCCCTGTCGCTTTTCTATTTCGAGAAGTAAGTGAACATGTAATGTCGATTACTATGTTAAGCCCATATAACTTGTTCTGGCTTCTGGAGAGACTAATATATCTATTCTTCTTAAGTCACCCTTTGACCTTGTTCATTTTTCACTTATCAACCCTAACTTTTTATATGAGCGGATATGTGTGTACACTTCATATTATATTCGTAATATGTCTGTAACTTATTTTGATTTGGCTATGAACTCCTGATTAAATGAAGTTGACTTGCACGCCATCTCTAATGAACGTCATTTCGCTTCGCTCTCTACTCTTAACTTCATTCCTCTGATCGTCTGTTCAAATCAATCAGTGTAAAAAACATACTCATTCAAAAATCCATTCTCGTATTGCACTCATTCAATTTCGTTATTCACTAACGCGATTTAGGTCGATAATTGTATACGAGGATTGACGATATGTATATTTCAATAGCGATCACCATGCAATCTAATTGATGTCAGATATCGGGATATTAAAATGGGTTTTGTCAGGTAGTTCATCATTCCATTTAACAAAAGCCTACTACTAAATCCCCCAGTCATTATTTCTTAATCCTGTTAAAAAAATATAACATTCTGTTTATTGTTATTATTCCCTATTTACTAATTTATTGTTACATTAAATCGATGACGAAATCTAAAAATTGATTTGAAATATTCCCATATTGTAAATTTAGAACAACATATATAAGCGAACAATATTGTTTTCGATTAGATCCTCATCAGGCTTTACTCTAATATACAGTAATATTTATATGCATATACGAAATTATTAAACCAATCAAGGTAGTTTATAAGTCAATGATAACAATGGAAAAGATTACATAATAAGTAAAATGTGAAAAGTACAAATTGATGGTGTGACAACAGGTGCATTAGTTTTTTGATAAGCAATAATAATAAAGGTTCAAATCAATGTTACATAATCTGAAATAGGTCAATGATTAGAAAAATATAGAAACTGAGATAACAATTATAAAATTATAAGATGACGTAATAAGAAATGTTCAGATAATTGGACCATGAAACGTATAGTTGAGAGAAAATAAAGTGGTAGGAGGGTGTGAAGAAAAATAATAAATAAATACATTCATTTATTACTTAAGGCCAAGGGAGAGATAAGGGAGTTACAAATTTCTTCTGGACACAAAGACTTGGCTTGTTGGCTCGAATTCCTATAGCTTCTGCTATGTGTAAGAGACGAGATCGAACACCATAAGGAAAACTAGTGGGAATCCGATAAATAACTTTGAACGACTTGTTTCTGTCCACCATATGACCGCTATCGATCAAGTGTGATAGAACCGAGCTGCGTATTGTTTTGACATAGCCTTTTCCTAACCACAAAGGGAGGTGTTCACTAACTCGTCGGTTCAGTTGCCTGGTAGCGTGCCCGATATAGCTTTCTCCACAGGAGCAGCTGAATTCGTAGATACACATAGAAGTGGCATAACCAGGTAACTTATCCTTCAATTGCGGAATCACCATCGATCGGGTCGAATACGATAGGCAGAGGTTGGCAGCACTAAACGTTCTCTTTATTGATTTAGTCAATCTATCTCGTAATACATCGCTAGCCACATCACCATTGAATTGCAGTTTCAAGAAAAGTGGTTTCTTATTAGCCGTCAGGGTCACTATTTTCCTGTTTTTTACGCGCAAGTGTTTCTTCAGGAAACCCAGTGGATATCCTAATTCAATCAAAATATTATGAATGTGTTGTAATTCTCTATCGATAGTGTCGACAGAGCATATCTTAAGAGCTCTATTTGCAAGGCATTTGACTAAGTTTCTCTTATAATGAAGAGGCACAAAGCTTAAAAAATGTGTGTATTGGCTAGGCGAAGAACTTTTCCTATACACACCCCTGCTGATAGAACCATCTTCTTTTCTACTTAACAAAACGTCCAGAAAATTTAGTTTGTTATCTATTTCCTTCTCACATGTAAATTTAATAGCGGGATGTTTGTTATTAAATAGTTCCAGTAGTTGTTCTTTTCTGAGGTTTTGATCGGCAATGATGAAGGTGTCATCAACGTAACGACAGTAGAAATCCAGTTTATTGATAACCTCCTTGAGAGGTCCGTTTTCTAGTTTCGCCAGAAAAAAATCCGCAAGGATGGGACCTAGTGGCGAACCCATCGCTATACCATCAATTTGTCTATAATATGTGTTATTAAAGACAAAATGGACATTCATTGTGCATTTTAAAAGTAATTCTTTAAGACTAACCCCAGGAATTCCAATATTGATTTGTTTTTCCTGCAGTTGTTGGCACACAAAATCGATAGTCTCTGTTAACGGCACATTGGTGAACAGGGAAGCAACATCTAAAGATATCATTCGTTTCCCATTTAAATTTATATGTTCCACTTTAGATATGAAATCGAAGACGTCTTTCACGCTTCTATTGACGACTAATTTGTGTAAGGGGTTTAGGATACGAACTAGCCACTTTGCAGTTTTATGATAAGGCGAATTATACATATCTAAAACTGGGCGAAGAGGAAGACCTGTCTTGTGAACTTTAGGTAAACCATATAGTCGCGGTGTGTTCGATCCAGTAGGCTTGAGTGAGTCATGTAAGTCAGGAGCAAGAATACCTTTATTTCTTAATTCCTTCAGTGAGATAGTCAGCAATTTTTCTGCTTTCATATTTAAGTCCTTAAAGTCGTTGAGTTTCTGAAATTTTGTCGGATCATTCAAAATCACGTTCATTTTATTAATGTAATCAGCTTTGTTCATAAGAACTAGCCCCCCTCCTTTGTCCGGCTTGCTTATGATTAGAGTATTGTCGTTTCTAAGTACATGTAAAGCATCCCGGTGCTGTTTGGTAAGTGGAGTTTTCACCGTACATTTACTATTTTTGTATTGTTGGCAGATGTCTACCAACGTGGTCTTAAACCTGGTTAATTCCTCAGGAGAAGTAGGCACCAAATCTGTTGTTTGTGTAAATAAATTTTCAAACTGTACATCTGTATCTAGTTGGTTTATTTTATTACTATAGTCGCAAAACCTAGGGCCGAGTGACAATGCCTCTACTTGCAATGCGTCTAATGTAACACTAGAGAAATTATGAACGTACCGCTCAGGGTTCATAGGAAATTTTCTTTCAGGTTTATGAGGTTCCAGTGACTGAATTAGTTTTGTTCCCAGTTTTTCTGATCTACTTTTTGCCACCATGTTATTATAATCCATAAATTGTGATTTTATTTCCGATGGTAGATTATCAAGCATATATTCTCTTTGTGAAAGATTTCTTTCTAGATTGTTTATGTGTAATTTTAATGAATCCGTTTGGTTAAGTGCATGCCGTTTAAGGGTTCTGGCATTCGGATAAACTTTGTTCCGGCGTAAACATTTCCAATATATTTTAGGATATCTATCATTCCGCATACAATCATTAATAAATTCCAACGATGTTTTCGCTTCAGTGAGACGAGCATTAAACTTTAGGAACTCATTGAGCACCTTAAATGCAATCGGATCCCCACGTGACTTCAAAATTTGAAATATTCCCATATTGTAAATTTAGAACAACATATATAAGCGAACAATATTGTTTTCGATTAGATCCTCATCAGGCTTTACTCTAATATACAGTAATATTTATATGCATATACGAAATTATTAAACCAATCAAGGTAGTTTATAAGTCAATGATAACAATGGAAAAGATTACATAATAAGTAAAATGTGAAAAGTACAAATTGATGGTGTGACAACAGGTGCATTAGTTTTTTGATAAGCAATAATAATAAAGGTTCAAATCAATGTTGATTGTCAGTCGATTTAATATTGATAAACAAGTGTTTCATGAATGTTTATATCTTAAAATTTGGTGGTTTCTTGATGAACAAAATGTTAGAGGTAAACCACTCATGCTCCTAATTTACTGTAATTTTATATTTAACTAATCTGCGTCATTTCAAAACCGAATGTGGAAACCATTTTGCTCAAGTTTTCTTCTCCTGTTTCTCATTGCGTTATTTCATAGAATTTTATTATTTTTCGATTAGTTTTTGTCATCTACTAGTACACTAGAATAGTTCCTTGATGATTACATATTCACAGATTTAACTTTTATGAATTCTATCAAATTATTTATTATAAGGTATATCATGCATGTATTTAGTGGAATGGGCAATTTTTCGGCAAACGAATTATCTTCAGTACTTTTGTATAAATAAATCCTTTTAAGAAGTTCGTTAGATACATATTCTACAAATAAAACGTAAAAACCTAGATATTTTTCATTTAGTTATTAGTTTATTGATTGCCTGAGCATTTCACTTATTCTTATTTTATTAAAGCACGTTTCAAAACATTTTATTTCACGTTATATCTAAATGTCATAGCGAAAATATGAAAATGAGAGTGACCATTTAGTACCAATTTGTTTTAGGCCACAATGATTAATAAGTTAGGGCCAACCGTTAAGAAACATCATGATAGTCTCTGATTGAATTTTTTTGACACTGTTGGACAAATAGTTTGACCATTAAAATCTGCCTAAATTAGCTATCACGAATACAGATTGGTAGATTTATTCCCTATCTATCAACCTTAGTTTGATTATAAACTAATTTCGTTTAAACCTTATTTACTGATTTCATAAATCTACGTTGAAAATTCTTCTATTACTCTGAAGTATTCGTTTGAAAGGTGCTGGATGGTTTTTACAGTGACCATACGAAACGTTTTATTCAGATTGAAGTGAACAGTTGTATATGTAGTCACGATAATGCATGAGTTGAGGAATTTCAATATTTTAAAAACCGGTTAAATTTCTAACAGTGAATTCTGTAACTCGAAACAAATATATTTTATGAACATTTTTGAGACAAAATTTATTATTTCAAACAAATTAGTACTCACCAATAGTTAATGTTTAATTTATTTCTTTTATTGTATTTTTTTCATGTATTTCTTAGGTGCCGTATATGGAATGGCTTGATTTAAGAGAAAACAACTTGGGTTTAACTTTTGTACAAATATTATCATCATCTCTTCGTATACCACGAAAAGACTTTAAACCAAAAGAGTTTAAAAAAGAAAGTTTTGATAAAAATTGTAATCGTCTCTCCGAGAAATTATCTGATAAGGATACTTTCAAAACTTCTAAGAATGTATCGATTACAGAATCAAATTTAAGCTCATCAAAAACACTGCCTTTTCATTCACGTGGGTTACATTTTGGTAGTACAGGTATTAATGGGCAATTATTACATATACTGATTCCGGGAATTCGTTTGGGTTGTATTACTGATCTTCGATTACCCGATAATGGAATTACTGGATCTGATGCTAAATTTTTAGTGCCACTGTTACGTTATAGTTCTCATCTAAAATATCTAGATCTGAGTAGAAATCTACTTGGGGTAGGTTATCATGTTGAAGTTTCATGATGTTTTATGACTTTAAATGTGTTTACCTTGTTGTTTATTCTACTTTTTTATAGTTATGGTCTGAATATCACTTATACTAATAGTTACAATTATCCTAATCAGTTACAATATGTAATAATTAAATTCCTAAAAATGTAAATGTTAATCAAAATGACATGAAATTTCAACTGGTTACACAATGTACATAAGTAGGAAAAAGAAATAATGGATAAAATTGAAATTCTTACATCACATAGTTTATTTAAATAAATCCTTGTTCAATATTATCACACCTACTCTCAGTATGTACCATCAACTGAATGACAGATTATATTTATCGATGAAGTTTTGTACAAATCACAGTACTGCTTCTTTAAAACTATATATTTAAGGTTGAATAACTCATTCATCTGGCTATTTATCAAATAAAAGGCTAATAACATACTGTTCATTTGATCATTTTTAGCATACATGGTCTGCAGGTTGAATTTTAGCACAATTCAGCGTTGTAATGAGAAAAAGCAAAAGAAAGACAGTGAGTCAGGAATCTTGAACTAAACTTCATCAGAATGTATTAAAAGTAGAATTTTTACAAAATGGCCTCCCTAGCAATCACCAAACCTTAAAAGAATGAAATGCGTCAACATTCTATGTGATTGTTTTATTTGAATTGTCAGCATATTAACTTCAAACTTGTTATACAATCCATATAGATTTTTTGAGGTATCATTGATTCAAACAATAAAGTAAAAGCGTCAGCCGTTCACAAATTACTTTAGTAAACCGTTTCGTTATCAGAATTTTCTGTAGTATTAGTCTAAAACAAGTTTATTCTGATTCCTGTTACTTGATTCAAAATTTATCTGTTGATGAACGTTTGATCATAGTTTCACATACTGGTAATTATATTTTGTCAATCATTCAACCAGATGTTTCAGGAATAAAATTATTTTTACTTTTATTGTTATTTAGTAAGAAACAATTTGTCTTATTTGATACGATACCACATCAGATTGTTTGTTGAATGTAGAACCATATATTTTTTACTCATCCAACTACTTACTTACTGATTTACGCCTGTTACCCCTCGTGGTGGATTATAAGTCACCCACCATCATTTTCCAACGAACTCTGTCCTGGACAATCCTTTCCAGTTGTTTCCAGTTGCTATCCATTTTTTTGATTTCTGCTTCCAAGTTTAGACTCTGTGTGTTCTTTCTTCCAAAGAGTCTGGCTGCATCCAAGCTGTCTATTGTATCCCATGCTTCTTCTAAGATTTGTAGGTCTTCATAATTCATTCAACTACCAGAAGAGAGAGGAATTGAGGGAGTGAGCAGCCTTTTCTAACGCCGGTCCTTACTGGACGCATCCAACTGACATAAGGTTGATCACAAACAAGGGACTTAAAAAGTATTTTAAATACTTTTGAAACAGTAATATGGTATAGAAAACCATAGCTTTGAAACTATATGAGGCAATATTCAAGATTATACGATTGCATTATTGTGAATATGGAATTCGGTACTTGCATAGAATTGCACTACATAAACAGTTCTATTTAGCTTTACTTGCAGTCGAATAAATGAGTTAGTCTTAAATTCACTTTTGTTGTATGAACAGTTTGAAGCTAGTTTTTGATGTTTATTTAGAGAAATATGCAGCAAGATTTTGTTCATCTGATGTTTTCAATTAATAATTTGATTTTAACTTCTTTATTTAAGTGGTGCATGTGATATCATTGTTGTTTATTTGTCTGTTGTAGTTATTCATTTAAATTTAACTTTTCAATATTGAACTGTATCAATAAAACATATTTAATGTTTTTGTTTCGGAGATTTACATATATAATCTTGTCTCTACTTAACTAGTGGCCACTTGACTAAAATGTATTTATGATTGTAGAAAACATAGAAGCTTAGAATTGAAGCTTGTTGTTTTAAAGTTATTTCCATAGCGCTAAATAGAAAATAAATATGTCTGACTGATAAATAAATAAGCATATCTAAAAATCAGTCTGTCACGTCATGATTTTGCATTTTATATGATAAAAGCTATAAAATACACAGTAGGTTCATATTACATTGAAAACAGGTATTTAGTGAATTTGTGAAACAGTACAAATTTCTCAGTCATATAATCTAACAACTTTAACACAGATACCTCGCATTTATAAAGAACACATTTTAAATTCCATCCATTTACCTTCTATGATTCTAAAAATAAAATAGATAAGTATGTATATACAGAGGTGCAGCGATGTATTATTCCCAAATTTAGTTTTGAATGCTGACTGATACGTTGTATCACTCATCGATTTCATTGTTTCAAAGAGGGATTAAACACGAATATTATGTATATCAGTCCTGTCACGTTGTTCAACATAAAAGTGATGAAAATGTGTTTTTTGTATACGTGTAGACGTATTTTTCTGTAATACGTTCGCTTAGTAATGTGTTGCAATTATATTTTTTCTTGTAGCCCATCGGAGTATTTCATCAACGAATAGATTTTTTATCCGAGTTTAGAGGCTACAAGTGTTTCCACGTCCTAACCACTCCATCTGTAGAATTATACCAAAACGATATTAATATATAGAAGTTATATTCATTGATAATTATTTTTAAAAATGCTGGTAGATATATATATATATATATATATATATATATATATATATATATAGATGTTGAGATATGTACCAATTCTTCTATAATTTTATTTAAACGCCTACACTTTCATACATCATTTTTGGTCACTGTTCTCATTATTCAGCTCTAATCAAAATCATTCAAAGCTTTATGCAGTGCAAATGTACTCTAAGAATAATGTCATGAATACAGTGTATATGATTAGTATACAGTTTGCTTGATAATTATTTTAGCAAGTAAACTTGTAGAATATGTTCAGCTACTGGAATTCAATCAACTAAGAGGTCTTGTGAGACATTTGTTTACAGCAGCTGAAAGTTTTTAAGCGAGCAGTTCTAATCGTGCGTAGATGGGTACTATATTGAACAATATTTATGTAGGTTCATCTTTTATTCATTGGAATAAGAACTTTCGTCCAAATTTGAACGAATAGTTTCATAATATTTGGGCACCGAGTTAATGTAAGCCATTAAAGAGGAAGAATGTATTTGTAAAATTTCAGCGAAAGAATTTGAAATAAATCCAACGTTTCTCCTGACAATCTGGTCCAAGCTTTTTCAAGGAAAATATAATCAAACAACAAAATTATCAAATTCTTTCGCTGAGATTTAACAAATACATTCTTCTTCTTTAATAATTTATTCATTTGTTCCGGAAATTCTTATTCAGCTTAAGTAACGTAAGCATATTGACATTGGCAAACAATTTTTTCATTGCACTCCAAGTTTCAATAGTTGTTTAGCTAGAACCAGTTCATAATTTCCCCATGGTAGAGAATAAAGACTGTTTAATCTATGCCGCTGACATTCATAAAACTGATAGAAACAATCTAAAAATTATAAGCAAAGGTGTATGTTCATGATTTGAGGCAATATCGAGGCAATCCTCACAAGATGTACTTATGTCACAAAGTGACTGATCAATGAAAGTCCTAAACATAAACGGGAAGATTCAAACAACCAATACATGATGAATTAAATCTACAAATTGTATAAAAACCATAACTACCATATTTGGATCAGAAAGTAACTCTCTTTATGAATAGATACAAATTACTATCAAAATGTTTAATCAATCGTTCCTAAGAGAAGTTTAACAAATTTAAGATTTCATCGAAATTCCTGACACTTACCATACTAAGTTATAATATCAAGTGTTGATTGAAAGCTAGATAGCTTTCAAGAAAAGTGAATTAATCTATGCTGTCACTATAACATTTCAGGTGTTATTATTTGAAAAGAAATCTGGATACAGTCGAATCACGTGATTTGAATCACTTCTCATTGCTTCATTGTTAACTTTATAATAATCCAGTTCATTTAAAAAAGTTATGGTTTCTCTACATAATGTTCTTTAATTAATAAAGTGATTTCCTTTTTATTACTGTTGATGAAGTGATAAAAAACTTGTAAATTTGGAAAATCCAGTATGTTCACGGAATTCAATCGTTTAGATTATTTCGATTATTTTTAATGATTTTTTAAAATTCTAAATCGTATTGTTTTAGATTTCCTCGTAATAAATATCACCATTTCTGTCTTAATATTTCTTGTGATAAATAACACGTAAACGTTCTCACCTATAACAAACTATTACAGTTTAACAAGTAAATTATTCTTAACTCAACATATGTGACAAAATCTTTATATTTTAAAGCATAAGGTGCATATAAAATGAATAGTCAGGAGTGATATCACTTTAATGTACAAGATTATTGACGGGATAAACGTCATAATAGTAATAGCTTAGAAACGTCTCTAGTAAGAAAGCAGTGATATGTAATGTTAGATATGAAAAGGTGTCATAATCATAATGTAATATGCATTTCGAGATTTTGGGATGTCATATATTTGCCATAAAAAGTAGATTAAATTATTTAATTAAACAAGATTTTTTCTAATTTACTTTTCATTTGGCATTAACTTGTATCTATTGCCAGCTTTTGAAACTGTATTGTATCGAAGATTGTATAATGCATTTAATCTCGTGAAGGGAACCGCATACAATCATATAATATTATTATTAGTGATGAAATCCAACCTACCTGTTACATCATGTTCAAAAATGTGATAATTTGTTCGATTCTTGATAGTTATAGGAAAAAAAACTGTTTGTTCATTGATAAACAGGAAGAAAAGATACAATTAGTGTACACACTTTTAAACTGATTTCCACAAACCACCTAAATGAACTATTGCATACTTACTGGTGATCAACTTTGGGATAAAATTCCAGCCAACTATAAGGATTAGTCAAATAAAACGCTTTATCACGTACTGATTGAAGCTGGGGATGTGAACTGTTGTATTTCGACCTAGCATTATGAATGCATATGCGTGTATCAGCTGA